ATGAAGAAACACTGCTTTTTCCGCATGTATTTGTTTTCCTTTGCGAAATAGCAACGTCTATAGTTTTCAAAGATTCCCAAGTTTCTCATTACACATGTTTATGTGATAACATTTGTTGGAATACAAACGATAACGTACAGAATTTACCTGCATTTGTAATGTTCATTTTACACAGACACTGTGGCTTGTTGAAGCTCTCTACAGGGTGTTGAGAAATTGTGTCGTATAAATTGCAAACAAAATGTCCTCTTTTGGTCTTCACTGTAGGAGGTTAACACCTAGCTAAATAACTAGTGTCATCACTGTAGCAAGTTAACAACTCGCTAAATAACTAATGTCTTCACTGTAGCAGGTTAACAACTCGCTAAATAACTAGTGTCTTCACTGTAGCAGGTTAACAACTCGCTAAATAACTAGTGTCTTGACTGTAGCAGGTTAACAACTCGATAAATAACTAGTGTCTTGACTGTAGCAAGTTAACAACTCGCTAGATAACTAGTGTCCTAACTGTAGCAGGTTAACAACTCCCTCAATAACTAATGTCCTAACTGTAGCAGGTTAACAACTCGCTAAATAACTAGTGTCTTGACTGTAGCAAGTTAACAACTCGCTAGATAACTAGTGTCCTAACTGTAGCAGGTTAACAACTCGCTAAATAACTAGTGTCTTGACTGTAGCAAGTTAACAACTAGCTAAATAACTAGTGTCTTCACTGTAGCAAGTTAACAACTCGCTAGATAACTAGTGTCTTCACTGTAGCAAGTTAACAACTCGCTAAATAACTAGTGTCTTCACTGTAGCAAGTTAACAACTCGCTAAATAACTAGTGTCTTCACTGTAGCAAGTTAACAACTCGCTAAATAACTAGTGTCTTCACTGTAGCAAGTTAACAACTCGCTAAATAACTAGTGTCTTCACTGTAGCAGGTTAACAACTCGCTAAATAACTAGTGTCTTCACTGTAGCAGGTTAACAACTCGCTAAATAACTAGTGTCTTGACTGTAGCAAGTTAACAACCTGCTTAATAACTAGTGTCTTCACTGTAGCAGGTAAACAACTCGCTAAATAACTAGTGTCTTGACTGTAGCAAGTTAACAACCTGCTTAATAACTAGTGTCTTCACTGTAGCAGGTTAACAACTCGCTAAATAACTAGTGTGTCTTGACTGTAGCAAGTTAACAACTCGCTAAATAACTAGTGTCTTGACTGTAGCAGGTTAACAACTCGCTAAATAACTAGTGTCTTCACTGTAGCAAGTTAACAACTCGATAAATAACTAGTGTCTTCACTGTAGCAAGTTAACAACTCGCTAAATAACTAGTGTCTTCACTGTAGCAGGTAAACAACTCGCTAAATAACTAGTGTCTTCACTGTAGCAAGTTAACAACTCGCTAAATAACTAGTGTCTTCACTGTAGCAGGTTAACAACTCGCTAGATAACTAGTGTCTTCACTGTAGCAAGTTAACAACTCGCTAGATTACTAGTGTCTTCACTGTAGCAAGTTAACAACTCGCTAAATAACTAGTGTCTTCACTGTAGCAAGTTAACAACTCGCTAAATAACTAGTGTCTTCACTGTAGCAAGTTAACAACGCGCTAAATAACTAGTGTCTTCACTGTAGCAAGTTAACAACTCGCTAAATAACTAGTGTCTTCACTGTAGCAGGTTAACAACTCGCTAAATAACTAGTGTCTTCACTGTAGCAGGTTAACAACTCGCTAAATAACTAGTGTCTTGACTGTAGCAAGTTAACAACCTGCTTAATAACTAGTGTCTTCACTGTAGCAGGTAAACAACTCGCTAAATAACTAGTGTCTTGACTGTAGCAAGTTAACAACCTGCTTAATAACTAGTGTCTTCACTGTAGCAGGTTAACAACTCGCTAAATAACTAGTGTCTTGACTGTAGCAAGTTAACAACTCGCTAAATAACTAGTGTCTTGACTGTAGCAGGTTAACAACTCGCTAAATAACTAGTGTCTTCACTGTAGCAAGTTAACAACTCGATAAATAACTAGTGTCTTCACTGTAGCAAGTTAACAACTCGATAAATAACTAGTGTCTTCACTGTAGCAGGTAAACAACTCGCTAAATAACTAGTGTCTTCACTGTAGCAAGTTAACAACTCGCTAAATAACTAGTGTCTTCACTGTAGCAGGTTAACAACTCGCTAGATAACTAGTGTCTTCACTGTAGCAAGTTAACAACTCGCTAAATAACTAGTGTCTTGACTGTAGCAAGCACCTATTTTGTTCTGGGGAGCTAAGGGGGGCCAAAATATATTTAAAATTATGTTTAGAAATTATGGAAAAGGGAAGGGGGTCATTGATTTTGTACATGACATGCAGGGGAGTCACTTATTTTGTACATACATTTAAGGGGATTCACATTGTACATGCTTCCCCATAAAAATCATCATCACACACACCACCACCACCCTCCCCCTAGCCATAAATTATAAACGGTCCCTAAAGCCTGCAAGTCGTTGTACCTAGATATCATGGATTGTTGTTCGGAATATCGGCCACTGGGTTGCCAGTTTAAGAGCATGTTTAGTTGTAACTTAAGCTCGTGTTGTCACATCTCTCCAGCACCGGTGCGAATATTGCCGTTGCCAATACCCCCACTAGATCATCACGTTGTATGTTGTTGGAGCGGAGAGCGACAGGGGTGTATTCATATCAGAATATCTCTTTCTCAGATTCTTATGTATTGGGGCTTGGATGCATAGAGGGAATCTGCGTTTGTTGCCTGGAGATTGAATATTTCATGCCGAAGAATGAATAAGGTGGCATATATTTAGACTGCGCATCACGCTCAACGTGACACATTCAACGCAATGGGTTTGATGCAGTAACTATGTGTGGCAACCTTTATCGTCTTTATGATACATATTTATGAAGTTCATCAGTGCGTGGAATCGGTTATGATAACACCACACTCTACATGTGCATTTAAGTTGCTGACACAGACTAGTGCGTCAACGAGAGTTTCGGAAGCTTCGTCAAAGCTCAAGAACACAATGATTGCTCGCCATACCCATGTAGGCAATAGAACATGTGTTATATATGCTATAGATTAAACGATTTAAGTTAATTGATGTGAATGATAAAGGGCGTTCTTGAGATGCATATAGAAGTCGGTATTCAAGTATAAGACAACATATTATGGATATCAGCTTCTTCTTCTGAATGATTCAACTGACGAAGGGGCAAGTAAAAGTCCAGAAACGATGTGTATACAATAAAGAAGAAGTTGACATCCATAATATTTTGTCTTATACATGAATGATATAAATGAGAGACAGACAGACAATTTGAGAAATTTCCTAATTCAGATTTCTCGTGTAAACTTTTATTTCCCTGTAGGGCCACATAGTTGTTCAGTTGTGAAATTGTTAATAGGATCACAATTCGTTTACATATTACTGATAGGGGCAGAGGAAAGTATACAAAATGTGTTCCTTAGGTGATTGAAACTTGAAAGAACTGTTAAACATAATCATTACCATTTGAATTTATTAACACATAACCCCTTCCAAATTTGAAACAACCTTTTTAATTTGTGTCGAAAAAGTGAGTGAGTTTAGTTTTACGCCGCACTCAGCAATATTCCATCTATATGGCGGAGGTCTGTAAATAATTGAGTCTGGACCAGACAATCCAGTGATCAACAACATGAGCATCGATCTGTGCAATTGAGAACCGATGACATGTGCCAACCAAGCCAGCGAGCATGGGTTACTGAAGATTCATTCTAACATGGACCTTCACGGGTCGTGCCGAAAAAGCAAGTTTATTGACTTTTAAGATGTGTAAGATAGATACGCATCAACTGTGGTGTACTATACGAAAAACGTTTTTTATAATTTTAAAACTGTGAAATTAAATAATATTCTAAAAAGTCCCCAAACTTTCAGTAAAAGGTCGTGCAATCCAGACTCGATTATTTACAGACCGCCGTCATCGAAATGGTGAATATGTTGACAACTATCCAATAAGAAAACTTTGTCAATCAAGTGTCAAACATTATCAAACGTGTACTTGCTTCGAGCGAAAATCAAATTCATGCTGCGTACGTTTCTATGGCAACGTCCTTGATATTCATGAGGTGCCCCGAGGAGGTCACGTGATACATGTTTTTTATTGAGGTGTGAGACTTATCCCAAGGGTTGACAATCCATGTACAACATATTTTGGTGGTGACGAATTTCAATATCGTGCAATGTAATCTTAATACTCGTGTATGAAGTTAAGATTACATATGCTTGACCTCACGGCAGAATCAAGTTGAGGCCGACGTCTAAATACCATTACGTAAAGAAAGTCTTCCATATATTTGTTATTTATAAATAAATACTTTATCATTTTATGCAAATATTTTTTCATACTACTAAATATAACTTTAATTTGTCGTGGTTTTTGACGATTCTGTGCAGGAGTGGTTGAGCATTTGCCCATTAGAACGAAAAGCCGGTGGTTTGATGTCGTTGCCCTGACAAACGTCGTCAAAAGATGGTACTTGTTGTTGCCCTGCCTGACGCTCGGCACTAAGGAGACAAAACAAGGACCTGTCGGCTTTAAGTAAAAGTGTTTCTAAGTGGAATATCCTTGTATCCCTGTTAAACTTCGACATGGTATCTCACGGCAAGCGCAGTAAACCCGACAATGGCCTAGACTAGTATTAGCAGTTTCGTACACGCACACGCAATAACGTGCATACGCGTAGTTAAATATGTGCAGTAATCTTGAAGGCCTCCAACACCTTCGCAACACCTGTAATCCTTTGTGACAATAAGTGTTACAGTCAGAGGTGACAGGTGTGAAAGCTTCATCAGATGAACTAATGCAAGTCCGCAGGTCACAGTAAACCTCCCTCGCTAACTCCTCTATCTGAGTTCAAGAAAATATGTGTCTTTAGCCTAACGTAGTTAATATAAATGCACGATGTTTCATTTCCACAAAAATACATATCACAACAGTTTCAGCCGGATGACATACCTGAGCAGCATCTGCATGATCCTGTACGCTCCTTGTTTCCTAACGACTTTATGCAGGGCAGTTTCCCCAACGTTGTCCTGAAGATCCACATCGACATCCTTGCATGCGAGCATGTACAAGACAACGCAAACATCAGGGTCTGTGAAACGTTCCGCGTGACTAACGATATGGTGAAGCAGGCCACCACCCGTCTCACTATCCCGAGTATTCGGTGACTTGCCGCTCTTCAGGTAGTCGTACATTGCTTTAATAACTGCATCCTTATTTCCAGTGGCTATCAGCTTATATATCTTGGTCTTCTTCAGGTTCATTGTGATCAACGCGAGATAAGGTATACGTCGTCGTCGTCTTCCTCTGTCGTCGCTTGTGGAGCCGCGCTCCAGTCAGCTGTCTGTTATAGTACCTGTACAGCTAGCTTGTTTATTGACCTGGGGGATATAATGACCTAACTTCGACTCACGAACCTGTCACTCTTCGGATGCCTTCGGCACTTTCCGGAAATATGTTCATTCGGTGACACTTCTGGGTGTAAAATAACATCCCGGCTCCTGTTTGTTGCTCTAATATATAACATATATCACCTGTAAGGAGGTACGGTGTATACCGGGACGCGCCACTCGTGACAAAGCTTCAAACCAGGAAATAAGCTCCATTGCGATTATTTCCGTAATCGTCATTGCGTGTAATTATGTAGTGTCTGTGGCGAGACGACGCGCCATGCTATATATTGACTGCAGGGTTAAAAAAAACTATTCAGACATGTTTGAAGGTGTAAAAAATGACACAAACTAGAAAAGGTTGTACGATTGTAATATTTTCGATATGGGTAACATAGGTGGTATTAAAAGATTCAAATCAATGAATATATCCCAAAAGGTGACGCGTACCCGACACCTCAAGGAATCGAGGGGTCGGAATTTTACAGAACATGTCAATGAGCAGAGGGTAGTGTGAATTTTCTAATGTATACTTCTTTTGGCCGACATTTCCCACGCATCTGTTTTTCATGTTAGGGGTTTAAAAACAGGTAATTGTTCGTTTGCGGGACAGATTAATGTGCTGAAAAAATGGCTATTTCCTATCCAGAAACATTTGTTCAGACATATAGTTATCGCTATTGTTAGTGTCGAGTGTTGGGCTTTGAAATCTATGGATGGGTCATAAAGCTGTAAAACTCCAAACATTGCAGGGGGTCAAGATGCTGTTTAAGTATTGTATTGTTGTGGTCGAGATATATGGTTGGTAAACATTCTCATCGTTATCTCAGCCATTTGAGAGTTAAGATAAAACTGTTTATATGTAACCCCAGGAACAAAAGAAACTTCGCCTCTCACCTTATTTTGGCAAATGTTTGATTTTCAATGGAATCAACAGACAATGTAAGGTTATACATGGTTTCGGTTTTAAAATTTATAATTTGATTTCAAATAATGTATAAATCGCGTAATACACAACTACTAATGGGTTTCTGTACCAGATATGATGTCATTTCATTCGTGTAAAATAGTATTTCGGCCTCAACTAACATTGTGGTAATCGAGACGAAACCGTTGACGTGTTGATTTTCACCTGTCTGTCACATGGGCCCCGTTGATTAACATGAGAATGATGGTATCGACGTCGTGAATTAACACATTGATTTACAACTTCATTTCCTCCGCGTCTAACCGCCATCGTGGAGTAGCCTCGACACCACTAATTAAGGTTATTATATTGCTTTAACATGGTCATCGTGGATTACGATGGGCTCCGTTGATTAACCTGAAAACCGTGAATTAACAAGGCCATCGTGAATTAACAAGGCCATCGTGGATTAACAAGGCCATCATGGATTAACAAGGCCATCGTGGATTAACAAGGCAACCGTGGATTAACAAGGCCATCGTGGATTAACAAGGCCATCGTGGATTAACAAGGCCATCGTGGATTAACAAGGTCATCGTGGATTAACAAGGCTTTCGTGGATTAACAAGGCAACCGTGGATTAACAAGGTCGCCGTGGATTAACAAGGCTTTCGTGGATTAACAAGGTCACCGTGGATTAACAAGGTCACCGTGGATTAACATGGCCACCGTGGATTAACAAGGTCATCGTGGATTAACAAGGCAACCGTGGATAAACAAGGTCACCATGGATTAACAAGCCAAGGCCGTCATGGATTAACAAGGTCATTGTGGATTAACAAGGTCACCGCGGATTACACATGGACATAATTTTACACGGGTTTCCTGGATTAACATGGATTTGATGGAGAAGCAAAGGTAGTGGGTACAAAGCCCGGCAAGTGTTGAGGAAGGAAAACAGGTGGTGGGGAAGACAGTGCCTACAGAGATCAATAATATGGAACTCGATCGGAGGCAAGAGATATAAACTGACCGCACTGATGGTAAATCCGTCCCGAAGTACACACTTCTTTAAAGTAACCTGGGAAAAGGAAACACCAGCTAAAGACAGGGGCTAAATGTGAAACATACTAGAACTATCAACCTAGTCAGCCAGCGAATGACTCGAGTTGTATCTTACAGGAAGCATGGGTTATTGAAAATACATTTCTACCTTGGATCGTCACGGGTGAGATAAGACTAAGGCATTCAAAGAAGAGATATCCAAAAAGTAGGTAAAATAAAATACGCTTTGAAATCTCCGATTACAAGCTGTTGTTTTTTTAGCAAGATATAATTATCCATTGAAAAAGCGTGCTTATTGAAAAGAATACGGTAAAATCATTATTATTGACCTATACTATGAGTCATAGAAAAAAATGTGTTGTGTGTTATTGTTCTTATTTAATACTTACCTTGGTTACAGTGAGGAAGGGGCAGCCTAGTGGTTAAAGCGTTCGCTCGTTACGACAAAGACTTAAGTTCGATTCCCAACATGGGCACAATGTGCGAAGCCCATTTCTGGTGTCCCCCGCCGTGATATTGCTGAAATATGGCTAAAAGCGGCGTAAAACTAAACTCACTCACTACAGTGAATAAAACAAAAATCACAACAAAATTGCCGCAACTGTTAACCCTATGTTCCCTATGTTTCATGCAGTCCATCCATCACCGGGCTGACACTCAACTGTGACAAGCGGGATGCTTATGTCCTGTCACATCGTAGGAGACAATGCACCAGACGTGACGTCATAACACCCACCCGGAAGTGAGATGATATGAATATGTGTGTCAACTGTCTGACTGGCGTCTTAACGTCGTACGGAGACGACCACCCCAGGCTCTTCTCGCCTCCAACTCATGTGGTGATCTATCTGTGTGGCAGATATCAGCATTTGTGCCCTTGCCAAAACTTAGGGGTGAGTTCAAAAGTTTAATTTCGGATGAAAATAGCTTCAATGGGAAGAGATGAGCTTGTCGGAAAGATTTTCATCCACATTATCATTTTCCTGGGATTACAGTGACTAAAATGGCGACAGCTTGCATTGTTATATTGTGCGAAGGAATATTGTGGCAGTTTGAAAATACATTGTAACACCATTTAGTGTGTTAATGTTGTTCCACAATATCTCGGCTGATAAAATGGATGCATTGCTAAGGTGATTTCTGGGTTTTTTGTTCATTAAATGAAGTCAACATTTTGACGATTAAGATTCAGAGCCGGTGTCGTATAGTGACATATCTGAAGAAAATGTGATATTTATCTGGCGTCACAGTTAGGAAATGCCCCCCAAGCTGTTTGCCGATCCACGTGACGTGGCTTCATGTGTTTCACGGAGGGATCTGCAGGTGCGATCTGATTATATCCCAGAAGTCTAAATTGTGGGTTTAGATATAATAAGCCATCCTGTACAATCTATTCATATCTGGATACATCAGTTATACACCATCCTTACTGTATTGTCATGCATAGAAAACAACCGTACATATATTGTAACATATGACATCTCATTTTGATAGATGTCTGAGATACCATTGGTGGAATGTCAGTACAAAACACTATGATACTGACTGGTACTACGTCAGTATCATTTGATACCCATAAGCAGTGGAAGCAAAAACAGTGTATGTTGCCCTAGATACGTCAGTATCATTTGATACCCATAAGCAGTGGAAGCAAAAACAGTGTATGTTGCCCTAGATACGTCAGTATCATTTGATACCCAAAAGCAGAGGAAGCAAAAACAGTGTATGTTGCCCTAGATACGTCAGTATCATTTGATACCCAGAAGCAGAGGAAGCAAAAACAGTGTATGTTGCCCTAGATACGTCAGTATCATTTGATACCCATAAGCAGTGGAAGCAAAAACAGTGTATGTTGCCCTAGATACGTCAGTATCATTTGATACCCAGAAGCAGAGGAAGCAAAAACAGTGTATGTTGTAGAAAGATCAGGAAGGAAGAAGCAAAAAAGTTTATTGTTTGCCCTGATATGCCCTCAATACTACTGAATCAATACTACTGAATAAAACTCTCTCTCTCTCTCTCTCTCTCTCTCTCTCTCAGAGGAAGCTCTCTCTCTCTCTCTCTCTCTCTCTCTCTCTAAGAATCATCTCTCTCTCTAAAGACGACTGAAGCGAAAGCTCTTGTATGTTGCCCTAGATACGTCAGTATCATCTCATATCTAAAAGACGAGGAAGCGAAAGCATTGTATGTTGCCCTAGATACGTCAGTATCATCTCATATCTAAAAGACGAGGAAGCGAAAGCATTGTATGTTGCCCTAGATACGTCAGTATCATTTGATATCTAAAAGACTGACTGACTGAGTATGGTTTTACGCCGTTTTTAGCAATATTCCAGCAATATCACGGCGGGGATATCTAAAAGACGAGGAAGCGATTGCATTGTATGTTGCCCTAGATACGTCAGTAGCATCTGAAATCTAAAAGACGACTGACTGAGTATGGTTTTACGCCGTTTTTAGCAATATTCCAGCAATATCACGGCGGGGATATCTAAAAGACGAGGAAGCGATTGCATTGTATGTTGCCCTAGATACGTTAGTAGCATCTGAAATCTAAAAGACGAGGAAGCGAAAGCATTGTATGTTGCCCTAGATACGTTAGTAGCATCCGAAATCTAAAAGACGAGGAAGCGAAAGCATTGTATGTTGCCCTAGATACGTCAGTAGCATCTGAAATCTAAAAGACGAGGAAGCGAAAGCATTGTATGTTGCCCTAGATACGTTAGTAGCATCCGGTATCTAAAAGACGAGGAAGCGAAAGCATTGTATGTTGCCCTAGATACGTTAGTAGCATCCGGTATCTAAAAGACGAGGAAGCGAAAGCATTGTATGTTGCCCTAGATACGTTAGTAGCATCTGAAATCTAAAAGACGAGGAAGCGAAAGCATTGTATGTTGCCCTAGATACGTTAGTAGCATCCGGTATCTAAAAGACGAGGAAGCGAAAGCATTGTATGTTGCCCTAGATACGTCAGCAGCATCTGAAATCTAAAAGGCGAGGAAGCGAAAGCATTGTATGTTGCCCTAGATACGTCAGCAGCATCTGAAATCTAAAAGACGAGGAAGCGATTGCATTGTATGTTGCCCTAGATACGTCAGTAGCATCTGAAATCTAAAAGACGAGGAAGCGCATTGTATGTTGCCCTAAAGTAGCATCCGGTATCTAAAAGACGAGGAAGCGATTGCATTGTATGTTGCCCTAGA